GGCAAACCGCGGACACGTGTTTCTGGCTATTGGCCTCATCAGCGCGGTGCAGCCAAGTGTAAAGATGGGCAACACTTGTTTGCCGAAAGCAGGAAACAACACATACGCACGGAGTCATCAACAGGAGCCAACCGCACATTTGTGATTCCAGTTAGAAGACCTAGAATTCCTAGGCTACATCTAGCATGACCACGTAGGCCGCTATAGCTACCTGCGTGACATCCGGGTCCAGAATATAAATACAAATAGAGATTTTATCGAGTGTGCATGATACAGATCAAAAATGAAACAATTCGTGGACACAACACTCCAAAAAAGGGGAGCAAACCGCGGACACGTGTTTCTGACTATTGGCCTAATACCTAGTCTTCTGGAAAATGGCCTGCATGAATCGCGGAAACCTGTGTTTAAAATAATTTTAATTGCACGTTTGAAGCGTGACAATTTTCGTGGCATTGGAGGAGTGGCACCAAATTAGAGTTCCATAGCTAGAATGAGATTGAAAAAATGCATAATAAGCTGAAAGAAGAGTTTCTGTCCTAACAAAGTGTCTGAATTGCCGGAGTGAAAGATATATTTTGAAAGCTTCTGGTTAAATACCTTTGTAAAAGGTGACCAGTTCAAAACATCATCAAGAGTGATTCCTAGTTAAACGACAGGTTTGCCCACAGAAATATTATTAGTCAAGAAAATTAGTTTTTGTGTTTTTTTTTCTTATTGAGTTTGAGGTTTGAATTCAACCACGATTCAGCTTGTCTTCCTGTAAGTGTCATAACTGCAAACAGATTCTGACAATTGTTGTCAGAGCAGTAGATCGATGTGCCATCAGCAAAAATGACACATGTGTAAGGTAATGATTCATAGAAAGGCCCCAGCACGGACCCTTGAGGAACTCCGAACACAATCGGCTGTAGATCAGATATTCTGTCATTGCCTAGATCAACAAGGTGTTTTCCATTCAGCAAAATGATGAAAAAGAAAAGTGCCAAACAGGTCAATAAACAAATAAACTTGGGAATATACAAGAAAAAAGCAACCAGACGGCGATGCAATCTTCTGTTTTCTGGAAGATGTATATATTGGTGTAAATAATAAAGAATCTATTGGGGCAGTATTCTGTGATTTCTCAAAAGCTTTCGACTGCGTGAACCATGAAACACTATTATTTAAACTTCAGTGCTATGGCTTTAGAGGATTATCATATAACTGGCTTTACAGTTATCCCACAGGCATGAAGCAGTTAGTAAAACTCCAAGGAAATACATCACATATTGAGAATAATCCATCAGGTGTACCACAAGTTCCGGTTCTGGGTCCTATCCTTTTTGTGATTCATTTGAATGATTTGGTAACCATTGACATTGAAAGAAAGTTCACAATTTCTGCGGATGACACCACGATCCTTTGGTGTGGGACAAATGAAGATAATCTCAGAGACATCATGATCCTGGATCTCTATAGGGTTAAACAGTGGTGCCATTCAAATTCTTTACGTTTCAAAAAATAGCATCTGGCTGCTATGCAGTTCAAATTGTTTCTAACGAACTCAATCAATTCTCAGCCAGAACTGTGTATTTTTCCTTGGTAGAGTCGCACTTGAGATATGGAATCGCCTTTTGGGGCTTTTGTAGTCAGTAACTACTGAATTCAGTAGTCGTTTCACAAAAAAGGGCTGTCAGATACATATGTAGAGCAAAATCACAAGACCACTGCAAACCACTTTTCATCAGTCAGAAAATTCTTACTGTACTTATTTATTCCTTTGTTTGAAGGTGGTTGACAATGTTTCGTGGTGTATTTGATCAGTTCAAACTTCCATCGTCTAATATAATATAAATTGATTTATTACTGTTAGAAACCTTTTGCCTAATTCACAAAAAATACCTTACCTTATCTGATTTTCGATATCATTCATCAATTCTAGTATCCAATTGAAGCCTCCTCCACCTTTGATTTCGGGAAAGTGGGCATCATCAAAATTCAGACATATTCCTGTTATTTTTTCATTGTCAGATTTGATTACGAAACTCAAATTCTGTTCTATCAACGACTCCCATAGCTGGTTGATTAAATGAATAAAATCTGATTTGCTTGTGTTCCATACAATCCATTCTTGTAATCCTGGCTGATGGTACAAACTTCTGTATGTCAAACTGAAAAAGATGAAGATGAAGATGATCGTCACATTCATATACGTTATAAACGAAAAGCAGGTGTCTCAAACCTTGGATATCAAAGAATAACAATGGTCCCAACATCAACCTTGGAATATCAATTTATTTTCTATTTCATTCTATACCTTTTTTCAAGCGAAAAATCTGATGATTCCTTAGCATACAAATATCATGTTCATCTTTATGCACAATATTTCGTTCATCCCCATCATTTTTGATATTCGCGGTATGAGTTTTCTGTTGATTCCATTGATAGTCTTTGTGTCGTGAAAAATTTTTCAATTTATGATTTAAGTTCATCCTTTTCGAAGATTAAAACAGTTCAAATGACGTGGTCATGACCGCTGATGAAATCTATGGCAGATCGAAACACCAATATCTGAAGATAAACTAAATTGTCATCTAACGGTCGATGTCGAAGCTTTTACAACAAGAAGAAACCACTGTCGAGACCTTGGTTATTCTTCAATATCTGTGGTTTAAGTTTTCTATCGATTCCACACGTGGTGTCGTCATGAGGGAAATGTTTATCTCCATCCAATATTTAGAATAGTCCTTCACAATAATGGAAGAATCCAAACTTGGTTGCATTAATTGATTGATAGCACTTTATTTCCAACAGGCATTCACCCAATTACAGGAAATGTACAAAGGTGTTGATGAGAATATATGCAAAACAGTATAATTAGATGAGAAAAAAAAAGATTGCTAAAACTAAAAGAAAAATAAGTAGAAATAGAGATATATCACAAGAAGCGAAAAGAAAAAGTGATCACAGTTGAAAGTTTCTAGTGAGATTACATTTTAAAATAAAACTTGGAGAACTGTGATTAATATTGCACATATCACATATTGAATTATAGTTGTTACAAAGTATTGACACTATTTGTTTTGACAAGATCACAGTAAAATGTCGTTTGATATCTGGAATTGAGGCGTGGGTTGCGAAAGTTGATCATTTGTGAAAGAGGGACACACGAGATCTTATTGTTTAGCAGTTTGTGAAGGAAGGAGATTGTGACAAAAAGTCGTCGTGTATCCAGACATACTACATTAAATTGATTCAGAAGGATAGAATTGAACAGCATCAATGTGATGTATGTGGCAATTGTAAATTAGATACCATATTAACACGCCGTATTCTAGTTTAGACCTCACATAGGCATTAAACAGTGTTATAATCGTATTATTATTCTTGAATTCTCTGGTACTCCTTATAATAAAGCCCAACATTCAATTCGCTGATGAAATAGCCTGGTCTATGTGGGAAGTGGAAGTAAATTTATAATCAAAAGTGATTCCAAGATCTGTCATCTCATTTACTCGACTAACTGGAATGCTGTCAATAACATAAGAAAATTCTATTATATTCTTTTTTCTAGAAAATGATAAAATGTAACATTTCGATATGTTCAAACGTAAATGGNGATCATTCCATTTACCGATTTCAGTATTTTTCCCTCGCTATCGTCAACCTCGGAATTAAGAAGAGGGATATTGAAATCGAAAAGCAACACAACATTCTCACGCTGGAGGTAATCTAACAAACTAACGTTACTGAAAAATTCTTCGAAATCTGCCATAGAGACAACTGGTGGAATATAAATGACAAATATGCAGAAGGTTGTGTTTCCTAGTACTATCCCACCGACTATATCTATACAAGGTGTTGCAGAAATGACATGTGATAAGTCCAAAGGTTTGAATTTAATATTATTGCGAAGAGCGATAACTACTCCCCCTCCTTTGTTTCTGAAGGGTTTAGAGGCAGAAGTAGATTATAAATTCGAATTATAAGTTAAATCGAAGCAAAATCGGTACACTTCGTTTCTTTCAACATCGTAGAGGTTTCTGATAGTGCTATGAAATGAATGAAAAGCTCTTATAGACTACGTCCACCCTGAAAGACATGACATTTCGAGTCATATCTTTCCCATTCTGCCGCTCCCTAAGAGTAACTTGCATATGTTTTGTGGAGATTAGTCTGGTGATGCGAAGTTGGCCCGTTATTACGTGCATTCTTACGTGATAGTTCCGAAGTTTATTCAACCAGTGCTTACCCATAGTGATGCGATTATTGTGATCATAATTGATACATTTGGGTGAGGACCCAATCCTTCATATTTGTGAGAAATATTTTTTCGTGATATAGCGTCGAGAAAAAAAATTGTGATGAAGACGATATCATATGAGGTTTGTTGAAATCACTTACTCGATAACATCGTTTTTGTGCTCATCTTTCAAAGGTTCGTGTCTGAAAGTTTTAGCTGGGCATCCACTCTTATCCATATTAGTATCAGCTTGCATGAGAGACAAAATTTCAGCAAAGTTCTTGGCAGAAATGAATTCTCCAATCCCTTGAAAATTAAAAATGAATTGATATATAGTTGGTAATGAATGATTCAATCTGTTTTGGAGCTGAGACGATTGATTTTGATTTGTACAAATTTCTTCGTGTTTTGCTTGACGCTGTTTGGGTAATTTAGGACAGTATCAGCTGAATGACGCTAACAGTTAGAATTGATCAATCATATTTATTTTCCCAATACACGAGATGATTTATTATCACTTTTATTCAACAAGTGGTGCTGGTCAAGATGATTCCCCGAAGCTTAGATGCTGAAGAAGGCACTGGCATAGGTAACTAGTGACTACTTCCCAAGTGTGTAGTCTGCAGGAGTTTTAGAGAAACTCGGTATAATTATCTAACTCACGAGTTAGAAAATAAAGGACAACTGCCATTTCTTGACGTTTTGGTAACGAGGAAAGCTAGAATACGATGTATTTAGGAAGGAAACAAGCACTTACATTTATATTTCTGACAGTTCACATCACTGTGTACCTACAGCACAAACGTGCTGGGTTGAATTTTTTAGTGCATAGTCTTTTGACGTTTCCCCTCACATTACAGAGGTTTACAAAAAAATGACAATACAGGAAATAGCAGTTAGTAGGGTAGGGCGGAGCTAGTTGAGCATAGGGGCATGTTGGGCAATCAAAATATCTCGCAAACTAGTCACCGTACGCATAGACATCTTATGGCAAAAAGAAGGAGTCGTGTGAGGGGTAATCACCACGCGATCGCTAGTAGCGGCTGGACGAGTGAGTGAAGCGTTCGTGCGTTTTGTTTATTTTGTGACCAAAAAGTAAAAACGTCGTTTATCGCAAGTTTTCGTTTTTATTAGTCAATTTTTATATGTTTTCAATCAGGTAAGTGTTAATCTTTCTGAGAATTATTGTACTTTTGATATGTGGAATTGTTCTGGGTATAATTCTCATGATTTTTTTATAACCTCGCTTTTGTTTTAAAATTCCGGGTTGGAGTTAGCTGAGCTATAGTTGCTCAACTTACCCCACGACTCAAACAACTAAGGTAATGAATGTTTTATGTTTTGTTAGGATGCGGACTCACAAAAGAAAGACTACAAGATGTTCTTACACTACTGAAGATTAAAAAAATGCTGCAAAGGATGTCAACGATGAAGGAAAAAGTGTTAATGCCGCCGCCAAAGAATTCGGTATCAAACGGATGACTTTAACAAGATTTTTGAAGAAATTAAATGAAGGTGGTGATTCATCTATGGGCTATGCAACACCAAGGCAAGTATTTTCTCCTACACAGGAAGACTCTCTGAAAAAATACTTGCTACAAATGGCATCAATCTTCTATGGATATTCTCCAAAAGACGTCCAACGCCTTGCCTATGAATGTGCTGCTAAATTTTGCATTGAAATTCCTTCCAGCTGGACTGCAAATGAGATGGCCGGAAAAGAATGGCTTACAATGTTTTTAATACGAAATCCTGAGCTATCCATACGAAAACCAGAACCCACTAGCCTTGGTAGAGCAACGTCATTTAATGCGCAGAATGTAAAAGTTTTTTTGAGAAATTAGCGGATGTTATGGATAGATATGGATTTACTGCATCAGACATTTGGAATGTAGATGAGACAGGAGTATCCACTGTGCTGAAGCCAAATAAAATTGTAGCTGCCAAAGGTAAGCGGAACGTCGGTGCAATGACTTCTGGGGAACGAAGGACTAACGTTACAGTAGTAACTGCTGTATGCTTTTGGAAATGATGTACCTCCTATGTTTGTATTTCCGAGAAAACAGTTTAAGAAACACTTTCTTAACGGTGGTCCCCCTGAATATATAGGAACAGGAAATGCCAGTGGATGGGTTACAGACGGAGAATTCTATCAGTTTATGCAACATCTTATAAAATATGTGAAACCATCCATTGAGCGCCCCGTTTTATTAGTGCTGGATAATCACTCCTCTCACTTGAACGTGGAGACACTAACTTTGGCGGTCCTTTCCACCGCATTGTAGCCACAAATTACAACCGTTGGATGTGTCAGTCTTTGGACCGTTCAAAAAGTATTGCGCTGCTGCTCAAGATGGATGGCTACGTAACAACCCGGGGAAAACCCTTACTATCTATGATATACCAAAAATAGTCGCTGATTCGTTGCCGTTTGCTCAGACAAGTATAAATATTGTTAACGGTTTCCGAAAGACAGGCATCTTCCCGTATAATGCAAACATTTTTGGTGAGTATGAGTTTTCACCATCATTTGTAACCGATCGTCCTGAACCAGAAACTATCGAGCCAGAAAAAGGTCATCCAGAGCAAGCTGTGATGTCTGGCACTGAACCTAATCCCACTCCTTCTGCCTCCACCAGCCAAGCTGAACCCGGACCTGGTCCAAGCAACACAGAAAACGAGACGTTCGATCTAATACAAGTATTTTCCCCAGAAATTGTACGACCATACCAAAAGGCTGGCCCTAGAAAAGCAGCTAAAACTAACAGAAGAAAGAGGAAAGCTGCAATACTAACAGACACTCCCGAAAAAAACGCTTTAGAAGAACAGCAAAATAAAACCACAAAGAAAGTTAAGAAGCCAAAGAAGAACATGGATAAGAAAAGGAAGAAAGGTGTCTGTAAAAAAATACTCCAGTCAAGTGAGGAAAGTGATGATGATGATTATTGCTGTCTGATTTGTTGCGAAGGCTATGCTGAAAGTTTACCAGGAGAAAACTGGATTCAGTGTCAGGCTTGCAGGGAATGGGCACATACAAAACGTGTTCCAGGTGCTGGTCTTACTTTCGTTTGTGTCAATTGCAACAGTGGCAACGACGATTAAGTTGTTAAGATCTTCTTAATTCATTTTTTCATGATATTCAAGTCTGATTTTAAACAAAAAGATTGAATTTAATCCTGAAGTTAGTCTTAAGATACGTTGATGTTTTGTTCATTATATTTTCAGATTGAAAGACTGAATTCAATGCTGAAGTGAATTTTGAGATACATTAATGTTGTGTTGATTCTTAGTGTTCAATTTGCCCCATACCCTTGCTCAACTTACCTCACCAATGGGGTACATTGAGCATACTTGACTTCCTGCATATAAATAGCTGTATCTTTCAAATTCGACTTCTTACAAAATAATTATTATGGACACTTTTGATAAATTATGAATCCATCAAGCCACTTAAGAACCCATTGAGACTTATCATTGAGGAGATATATCCGTTCAAATGAAAAATTGCTCAATCAGCCCCGCCCTACCCTACCTAACGGTTTCTTGAGGGGTATTGTAGATGATATTATGTGGAAGAAAAAGTTTAGGTTGAGAATGAACGAAATCTCGACTTTTAGGAACGACGAAAACCAAGATAAATATATTTCAGTTCCATACCACCAATACACGAAGAACTTTGGAAAGATTTCCAAGGAACTAGGTATGGAGGTGGTATTTATAACAAGTCATACACTACAGAGCCTTTGAGGAAATGTAAAGGACAAAGTCGAGAATTCGGAAAAGTCTGGAATTGACGAATGTGAGGACTGCGATGAAAAATATTATGGACAGACAGAAAGATCTACTGGAATAAGATATAAGGAACACTCAGCCCACCTGAAATATGGAAAACCAGACAAATCAGCAGTCGCTCATCATGTTTTGCAACGAAACCATTCCATAGATTGTATTTCATTAAAATTAATTGGACATGTTAACAACAAAATGCATCTAGATGCCTATGAGAGCTTAGAAATGAGCATAATAGTATTATGAATAACGATGGTGGACCAATATCTGATAGTTTACTTTATAGCTTGTTGAAATGCTATTTTCAGTTGTCATATTCATCTGACAGATAAATAAGGCAACATAGTTGTACCTATCAGAGCTATCTTTTTTATGAATAAGGATAACATTGTATGTAGATTTAGTTCAATCTTCTTCTTGAAGATGATCATTTGGTGATTGAAACACGTGTCGAGGTGTTGAAAAAACGGTTTGTTGTTGAGATAGAACTCCAGTAATATTCATTACTTCACCAAAGGTTTTGTCACATATAAGGTGGTAATTGGAGAGCTATTTAGAAGTATACAACATCAATCTTTGTCAAATAAAATATGTGAGAATCTTAAGAATACTATGCACATTATATTTCATCTCTACAGAATGAATTCCAGAGTCCACACACACTGATGTGACACGCGCGATGAAGAAAGTTAGCATTTGCGTTGGTTTTGCTTAACGGAGTGAATCTCTTTGAAAAATAAGATCGCATTTTCATTTTGTGTAGTTTTTGAACAGATATGTACTCACCTATTTCAAAATTGAAATTGATAATATGGATTTTATCAAAGGCCATTATGATAAGCAATACTATTACACAGAAAAATATAGGCATATATGATTTGCTATCCGTGCGAAGCCAGAACGGTTCGCTAATGAACTATACAGGGTGTTTATCAAACATGCGGCTGAAATTTAAGAAACTACTCTTTAGACCAATCTAAAGATATTTTCCCCCTAGATGTTTTTGAACAGATATGTACTCACCTATTTCAAAATTGAAATTGATAATATGGATTTTATCAAAGGCCATTATGATAAGCAATACTATTACAGAGAAAAATATAGCCATATATGATTTGCTATCCGTGCGGAGCCAGAACAGTTCGCTAATGAACTATACAGGGTGTTTATCAAACATGCCGCTGAAATTTAAGAAACTACTCCTTGGACTATTCTAAGGATATTTTCCCCCTAGATGATTTTTGATAGGGCGCTTTCTTTCGATGATACGAGGCGAAAGAGAATTTCGATAAAAAATGAGAGATGCATGTATAAGTATTACACCTAGGCTAGAAAATTGCATTCAATATTGCATTCATATGTGCATTCAACAAATAGGTCGTCAATTTGGTCATTTAATGTAGATTGCCATGTAGCTTTGATTTTATATATTGGTTTCATTTTTCTCAAAAGTTCATGAGAAAATAAATTGTTTTTCTGTTTGATTGTTGTCACTGATCATGGTGGTTATTTCAAATGGAACGCTATAAAAGTATCAAATGTGATATACATTCGCATTGTGAATTTATCGCTTCATCAATATCTGTAATGAAAGAAACAGGTCCTTATTTAAAAAAAAGTTGATGATGGCCATGTTGACACGAAACGTTTTATCGAATATTTTTTATCACATCGTCATAACATTTTTTCCATTTTTTGATATTCTCTGAAATAACAACTTCATTCGAAAAAAACGCAAAACAGCAATTTTGGTGTTCCCCATATAACTCGAGAGGGGCGAGAGTCCCCGTATTCGACCATTGTATTGTTTCCGATGACAGTTATATTTTTTCCCATTTAATCGTCTTTGTATCTGTTACGGTTTAGAATATAGCAATGTTAACACATGATAAAAGAAACGGCATGAATGGTGACATACTGAAGAGAATCTAGTTGATTTATATGCTCCCGATCAAATATCAGAATATATCGCTCGAATTCATTTATCGTTCAAATAGAAGTTCATTTCACTACCAATCTTTTCAATCTAGAAATATTTCAATTGAGTGTGGACTGATATTCACATCGTTTTGTCCAACTATTGAAAAAATATTCCGAAAACACTTTCCCAACACCAGTATAAAAATAATTCTTTTTTCTGGTGTTGGAAAAGTATTTTCAATACATTCATTTCACGCCAGAGGTTCCAGTACGAACTATCGAGTATTGAAAAAATGAAAATTCCGGTGAAAGAAATGAGGTTTTTTCAGGAATCTATGTTATACTCGTATTACCTACCGATGTGATATCCCCTTTCCCTCAATTTGGAAATGGTAGATATCGAGTTGATGGAGTTTCCACCGATTTCATAAAAATTTGCATTTGCTGAAATGGCAGACCTGGCTCTCTTGCTAAGAACACTGGCAACCGTTTCGAATAGCACTGTTGCTGCTTCCATTTGTTCACTGTCAATATCATCATAATTTATTTCTCCCTCTGAAAATCAAAATGATAATTATTTGGTCTATGAATACACCGACTCGATATTTATGAAAATTAATATCACAATTTTATTCGAAATGCTTTTCACTAGATGCTAGTTTCATCAGTTGGACTAGTACCAGTCTAGTACTACTCCAGACTAGTACTAGTTCGAATATTGGACTAGTCTAGACTAGTACTAGTGCTTGTGAAGTTGTACTTTATTATCATGTGGTTCTTTTACTGTGGTTTCTGTGATTTATATTCCAGAGTCAAACCAGCCCTGAGAACAATGCGTAGTTTCCAAAGTATTAGTTCCGATCCTGAATCTATCACTTTTTTGTCACTTGTCATTTTTATTTCTGATTGACCTTCGCAGAGCCGTTAGATCTAAATTCATCCAGGATTCTGGTTTGTTTCGTGGTTTTGGTCATGGTATTTATCATGAAATTATTCATTGAGACTTCTGAGAGTAATTTCTGGATTGAACCCCTTCTTTGGGCTTGTTCAACTTCTTTTCGTTTTGAGTTTCTGTTGGATTCCCTCAAAACCTTGTTACATCCAGTAAGAAGCTGCTTGTACTGGTGTCATACCTATGACTCCTATTCACTGTTGCAGGAATTTCTAGTCGTTTCGTTTGTGTCAACTCTTCATTTCACCAAGAATATTCCTATTTTGTTTCTGGCTAACTGTAGGACAACATTCGTTATGTGAAGTGTTGATAGCTTGCTAATTGTAGTCTGCTGTTAACTTCATATCTATAAAGTACCTAGTTCCGGAGCTCATTTGAGTCTATCTTAAAGGCTCCATAGTTTGTTTCCCGTGGTTTCTAATATAAGGTGATTGAGATATGAGACCCACAATTCTGGAAATATGTTCCTACTAACTTTCCATCAGGCAAATTCCACCCCAACACCAAACCATTATTTTGAACATATCGATACGTGCTTCAATCACCAAGTCATCATCTTCAAGAGGAAGATTGAACTTTGCTGTTCAACTGTTAGGTGTTAGGATATAAGTTTTCAAACAATACGTCGCAAGTATAGTACTTAATGTCAAAACTGTTTCTTCTCTACGTGTCACCATAATGTTCAACTTTTTCGTTGATGTCAACCTTTGAACTGTTGGACTGCATTGGCGTCACAGTCCTGAAATGGTTCCTGATTATCGTGAGTTTGTTATTCAGATTCCGCTATGGTTTACTTAGGCCTTCTCTCACTGACCGTTGTCAAATCTTTGATATAAAAAGTTGTCCAGTATGCCCAATAATATTAGAATAACTGTTCAAATTCTCAGAGTTTCTGATACTCTGTAATACGTTGCTCTGCAGGTCCTTCAAGTCCCCCCAATCAGAAGATTATTTTCCTGTGAGTCTGGTTCCCTTTGCTGTGCCTCCGTCCATCAGCTTGTAGGTACTGCAATCTGATAGTCGCCTTGCATTTAAAATTCTCCACAAGTCTTATAATGTTGCATTTCATTAGTTCGTACTTCCACCTTCAATCACCTTTGAACAAATCTTATAATGTTACTGGAATGATTTTTTTCCAGTTGGCTCTTACAACAGACCGCAGACTGATTTTGCACTGCAGGGGTTTACACACCGAGGAAACAATTACATGAGAAAGCCAATCTGAATGAGTATCAACTAGAATGAACCATAATTTTCAATCGAAGATAATTTCCTACTAGAGTATGGTTCTTTGGGCCAAGTTCAAGGACATACCTGATACAGTTTTCAACTTCACCATACCTATATGTAACAACAGCAGTTAGGAAAATATATCATATTTCTTGGCATCTGTTATTCCAGTTGACAGTTGGTCATGAAACGCAAACAAGTTTTTCATTTCTCATATTTTTCCAGAAAGAGGAATATCTTTTCTAAGACACTCATTGAGACAAAAGTTGTTTTCACTTACCAGTTTCTTCTAGACTTTCATATAGTTTTATCAACTCCTGTCTATCGATTTTTCCACTAACCAAGAAAGGCATTTTTTCGATGACAATCACTTTTGGGACCATGTACCACATCAAACCTTTTCTGAGTTTGGCCTCTATCAGTAATGCACTCAAATTCGGATTATTGACAGTTACAAATGCTAGAAGCTCTTGTTTAATATCACCAGGTTTGTAACATAATACGATGGCTTTCTCAATCTGGAATCATTGACAATGATTTAAAAAGAATATTAATCACATAAAACATTTCAAATTCAATCAGACTGTGGTCTGATTGATGTTAATCATACAATATCAAAGAAAATATGCAGGTTCATTTGTTTACGACTAAACCAATATCACGAAAAAAAATATTCGTTTGTTTGTAATGGAATAACTGAAAAACTACTGCATCGATTCCCCCACTTATAGAAGATTCATTTTCAGCGAGTGAAATGGACTGTATTTCATTTTTGAAAATATCAAATATCTCCACGAAAATTGAAGTGATATACAGAGTACAGATTCAACGTTCAGCTTTTACAGTTTTCACAAAAAATATCTTTATACAACAATACTCAGCTTCGCAGGGGTGCAATTTAGAGTTGCAATTCCATCGGTCAATATAATTACAACAGTTCTATATACAATAGTTTTTTATAGCTACTTCTTTCCCGTATATCTGAGTTGAAAATAGCCTTTGTTACTTCTGCAAAATGTTGCTTTATGATGAGCGAATAATCATTAAATGATTTAAATCTGAACTAATTTTCAGTGGTTTCACAGTTTCTCGATTATATCTGACCCACCCCGACTCCGTATGGCTAGATAGATAACACTTTGTGAATATCAAAGTTTGGTCCATCCAACATTTATCAGATATTTACCATGGGGCCACATATGAAAAATATTTTCATATCTGTGTGGTCTTGGATTTCGATCATTCCATTTACCGATTTGAAACTTCAACTCAACATTACTCATTATCACTATGAATCATAATATTTTGTTAGGTAGTCTGGATTAAAATATTTTTCTGAGAACGCTCTGGCTTTATCGATGGACGTTTTGGAGAATAGACAGCAATTGGTTAGTATAGATAAATGCAGCTCAGATAAGATATATTTCAAATCAGGGGTACCTCAAGGATCCATTCCCGGCCCTTTATCGTTCTCTATATACACAATTCCCTACTACATATTCTTCACAATTGTCAGGTTCATTCCTATGCTGATGATACTCAAATATAACACAACTTCCCAGCAATACTTGTGACATGGTTAATGCAGATATAAATAGATCTATTGAACTGACAACGGTCCACTCTTCATTTATAAACCCTAGTGAATCGAATCTAGTGATCTTTGGTCCAAGATTTTACAGCCTCATAGTGATTAACTCTGCGAATATCTGCATTCGAAATGAACCACAAGATATTGTAAGTGAAGCAAAAATCTTGGTGTTTTGATGGAATAGATTTGAGATTTGAAACAGATATAAGTAAACTCTCACTACGTACCTACTTTGCACTGAAAATTAATTCATGGTAACCGACATATTTTGCGATATCATGTGAAAAAGTGCTTATGTGAATCTCTGGTGCATTCAATCTTCAACTATATGCGGATGTTCTTTTTGGCTCAGTTTTAACCACTCAATACAAAAAAAATATTCAAAAAGTTGAAAATCCATGCCTCAGATCAATATTTGGTATTGGTCGGCGACAAAGGATCTCATATGAGCTTCAAGGAATTGGGTGGTTGAAAATGGGAAAAAAGGGTATTTGACGCTGTCTGTTTATTTCCATGAAATAATTGTAATAAAAAACTTTCATACTTTCATAGGAAAGTTAAATATCAAATAGACATCCACAACTTGAGTATTTAATATAAACATATGTTTGCAATACCAAAATTCAAAATAAAATTTGCCAAAACAGCTGTTTCGGCCTATTGGGCATCGTCAGTACCGGGCAGGCGGTCTTCGATTGAAGACAAAATTTGAACAATCAAGAGAATACTTGATGAGAATAACTGCGTAAACGCAAGCGAGACATAAGTGAAACCACCTATTGGTGTCACAGCCAAGTCAACTTGCCAAGTTTTTTTGTCAGTGTTGGTGGTTTGACCAATCAACTGACAACTGCGGTAGCAGAAATTTGGGAAGCTGAAATGCCATCGGAAAACGAATCCACATGTTTCTAGAAATGATATGAAATCGAGAAAGGTTAACGCAGTCAAGCTGCTGGAGAATATTTACATGAAAATCAAAAGATGAATAGATATATAGGTATATCAAGTACTTATCTTGTTTATTCACATTTTGTCTTCAATCGAAAACCGCCTACTCAATACTGACGATGCCCAATGGGTTGAAAGAGCTGTCTACCGGTGGATCTTAAATTGAAATCAAAATGGAAATGATCAGAATAGTACTTATCTATTTTTAGGATAGCTTCCCAAATTTCTGCTATCGCAGTTGTCGTTTGATTGGTCAAACCACCAACACTGACATAAAAACTTGGCAAATTGACTTGGGTGTCACACCAATAGGTGGTTCCACTTATGTTTCGCTTGCGTTTANTCACTTGTATCCAAATCACATTCTCGTGAAAATAATCCAAGCTTTGAATTGATCTCCTAATCTTTGAAATGGTCCGCAATATGTACTATATTCGAACGCTCCGGTATATTTGTGATTGCCAAAGATCTGTTATACATATTATTCAATATGCATGAAAATATTCCTCAGTGTTTCCGCTCTCCAGAGAAAACTTTGGACGGTAATAACCCCAGTAACATTCTGTTATATATTTAGCACTCCCACAGAAAATCTACATTTTCACATCAAAACTCCCCATTACTGAGAGGTTAGTTTAGAATCCGAAATTTACTACATACCTCATCTAGTGTATACATGAGCTGTTGGATCTCACTGAGGTCAACTCTACGTCCCCCAATTTTTATTTGTGAATCTGCTCTACCTTCAAAAATCAAGCATCCACTTTCAATTCTTGCAAAGTCACCAGTGCGGAATAGTTGTTTGTAATCAGGATCTGTTTCGAATGGGTTATCAATGAATCTCTCTTCTTGATCTGTTTTGTTGACGTATCCTGCTGATAGGTTCAGTCCAGAAACGAATACTTCACCAACGGTTCCAGCTTGCACAATTTGACGATTTTCATCCAGAAGGTACACTACGGTGTTATCGATTGGAATACCTGGAAATAGTTGATATAAATATTCTTTTATTCTCTTTCATGGCAAGTGATTACCTATCGGAACTTTATCATGACTTTCCAGCTGTTTCAGTTCATTTATTACATAAAATGTAACGTCAGCCATGATTTCAGTGCTTCCATAGAAATTGCACAGCCTGTAACTATTTTCCGGAAAACATTTATAAAATTGGTTGACCACCACTCTGTCGAGAGATTCTCCGGAGCAAATCCATAACCTCAAATTTCGCAAGTAGGCCTCATTTCCCTAGAAATGAAATACTGACTACTGGTGGACGTTTTCCCATTGATACTCACTTGTGATTCCAAGAACAGAAGAAGAGATTTCAAGAGCGAAGGGACTAAAACAAGTCTCTGTACCTGCAATAAATATAATTCCACATGATATTATAAAATTTTTCTATTCGGTTCAGTTTTACAGCTTTTCTATTCCTCTCAGAATCAAAAATATGTTCGAGACGCTCATGAACATTTCAGTTATTGAAAATGACCGCTAGAGTTGGTTCTTACTATTGAGTTCTTGAAGGCCAATAAAAATCCAGACATTTGTATTTGAGAGACTACCGAGAAGTTTTTGGTGTGATCGATAATGATTAATATACTGAAGGTTGAAAAATCTGGAGCATCCAAAATGTTGCTACTTTATGGAAATTTATGAATTTGAAAATGTAGCATCCTCAAGCTGTATTTTTTGAAGACGAAAACACACGCATTTCTTGCACAATATTACGACTTCATGTATTACAAAGATGCGAAAGAAGGAAGACCTTTCAATACGAATATAAAATATTTGGGAAAAAAAGGTTTTGGATTTCTACTTATCCATTTCCATACAAAAAAATATGTGAATCAATTCAAGGCAACTTTATACGAAGATGTGTTAATCATGGAAGATTCCTATATTTCTTTATTTAAAGATGAAGAAGTAGAAAGCCAAAACATTTTTTTTTCCAAAAATCGATATTTTCCAAAAATATAATCCTTTCAATTTGAAAATAAAACACTTTTTGATAACACATAAGCTTGCTACACCACACTTTTTGAATCACATGCCACATGATTCTTACAGCGAGTTCGGAAATACATGAAAATTCTTCTTTCCAGAAGAGTTGTTTTTTTTCTCCTTTCTGTTTCTGATCGTATATGGAACTTTGTAAACGATAAGAGGCAGAAACTCGCGCCTTTGTTTTGTAGATCTTCTTATGTAGATCTTCTTTTATGTAAACGTTAGAATTTCGATAGCCAGTATAGTTAGTTTTATTAATCCTCCTTAGAGTGCGGAAACGTGGGTCATCCCTTCCAAATACGCAACTATATATTTGGAATAATACCCAATACACACTTTCCACTTATTATTTATCCAAATAAACCTACTCCCGTCAGGATGTTTGAGACAACATTTATGTCTATTTGGAAAATGGTAACTATCACGTACAGAAAAGGGCACCGATCTCCAAAAAGTGAGAGGGCCTCGGTTTTTTTCCTTTCTCTCGATTTATCAATCTCATTAGGAAAAACAATCAACTACGTCCATTAACAACTTGCTGTCACTATTTTGGACCAATAGGGTAGCAAGATAGAAAGTGAGTATTTTTGATCGTAGGAAAATCTAGTAGAATAGTTGGATATCTGTACAATACACGAGATACAATAGAAATTGCGGCGAAAACACCGTTATTTTCACAGAAAAATCACGGAAACTCTTTGAAAATGTAGTTTGAGCACACTGGCAAACCAGATGTGTCCCTAGCTGTGATAAAAAGTTCGTCATCAACAAATGACAATTCTGTCGATTCCATAACAAATAAACGAACAATATCTACAAGTAATTCAGCTAATACATCGAGGTAAGTACACTATGGTCTACATTCACTTACTGTATGAATTAAAAACGATGTAAGATCCGTAAATCAAGTCTATAACCTTCAATTTATATTTTTCAATAATATCGATTATTATTTTTCAGAAGTTCAGAAGTTACTTCACGGTATGGTATGAAAAGAGAGCAACCGAATGAGAATTGGAAAATGGTAACTATCACGTACAGAAAAGGGCACCGATCTCCAAAAAGTGAGAGGGCCTCGGTTTTTTTCCTTTCTCTCGATTTATCAATTTCATTAGGAAAAACAATCAACTACGTCCATTAACAACTTGCTGTCACTATTTTGGACCAATAGGGTAGCAAGATAGAAAGTGAGTATTTTTGATCATAGGAAAATCTAGTAGAATAGTTGGATATCTGTACAATACACGAGATACAATAGAAATTGCGGTGAAAACACCGTTATTTTCACAGAAAAATCACGGAAACTCTTTGAAAATGTAGGTTGAGCACACTGGCAAACAAGATGTGTCCCTAGCTGTGACAAAAAATTCGTCATCAACAAATGACAATTCTGTCGATTCCATAATAAATAAACGAACAATATCTACAATATTTACAAGTAATTCAGCTAATACATCGAGGTAAGTACACTATGGTCTACATTCACTTACTGTATGAATTAAAAACGACGTGAAATCCGTAAATCAAGTCTATAACCTTCAATTTATATTTTTCAATAATATCGATTATTATTTTTCAGATATCGGCCTCCAACAACAAGTTACTTCACGGTATGGTATGAAAAGAGAGCAACCGAATGAGAACAGTGAAGCCCTTATCTTGTCTTCTAATAAAAGAGAATTAATATATGCGATTTGTTTTCAAATTACTAAAATAACCTGCTCAAACCACAACTGTCCCCGCAGTAAACGTGCATCGGTCCTAAACTACTCACGCGGAGGAAGGTTCTCAACTAGGAATCTTATGATTCCTAGTGGCCGTGTCAGTGGACGGACGTGCCGATAATGTCCGTCCACAAAGAAGGTTCGCGGATGCCATGTGCTATCGTGGGGCTCCATTTTGAGTTGTGTTATATTGAAAGTGAAATGTGGAGTGTCTAAAAAAGTGATGAATAAGTGGCCCCCTTTTTCACGCCGGTATCCAGGCCGGGGTGGTTCGGATAACCACGTAAAGGGGGGACTATATATGTGAAAAATTACCAAAAGGTCTCCCAAGTAGGAGGCGACTTCAAAAAATCAAATTGATTTTATGTTAAAAAAAGACTAGTGTTTTTTATTATAAAAAGTTAGAAAAAAATGGGTGGCAGCATTGCTTTGTGCAAGACCGCTGCGCCCCCCGACGAAGCTCCTGTTAACCAACAGGAGGAGCATTGGTCATATGCGCCTGAAGATAGGAAGCAACGACCATCTAAAATACAGAGAGAGAGAGAGAGAGTGGTAGGATGTTAGATAACTTCTTAGATCGGTAGAGCCGTGGCCTGGGATTTTTTGCAACAACGGTCTGTTTTGTTTATTTTTGTATGAAGAACAGTCGGTGGGCCTTTCTCTTCGACTAGATTGGTGTGACAGTGAAGGCGCTTGGACTGATGAAGATGAACCAATTCCACGATACATATAGAATAAAATTGTATTTTTTATAATAAGTGTTCATTTATTCCAAAAAGTTATAAGTAAAGGTAAATTTAGACCGTTACAATTGCACAGTTCATTAGGAGGTTTTGCCACATTGGCGTACGGTCAATAAACAGGATCGTCTCGAAGTTATGCGCCTCTTAGTACGAAAATAACGTCCGGTATTGTGGGGTAATAGTTCATGGCTTTTGCATCACGATAATGCGCCTGCTCACTGGCCATTGCTCGTTCGTATTTTTTTGCCAAAACTTCTTGGAGGGCGGGGTTTTGGCACGGTTTGAGAGGCCAGGCTCGAATCGCTGAGAGCTCGGAAATATACCAAAAAGTGCATATCAGAAGTATTTCGAGGATTGGAAAAACCGCTGGCACAAGTATATTATACCTGTGGGGGTTTACTTTGGGGGGGACAAAAAAGAAATTGATGAATACATGAATATTTTTTGAAGAAAATGAAAAGTCACCTTGTTTTTTTAACAGAGAGTATATCTTGCACTCAAACAAAACCTTTTTCATGAGAAAGTATGGACCAGCCTAGCTGATGAGACTGATGAGACCTTGGTGGATCAGGTATTGGATTACGAAAGCTTTGTTTTTTGTGCTCTGGTTTCAATTGAAACGCATATGTTTACTTTTATTGACCCAACTGTGGAATGTATTGCACTGAATTATAATACTGTTTCGTGTTATTCAGAATATGTGTCCACTTCTGTTTTTGAAATTCTAAGAACAAGAAATACTTTCCTTTGTTTTCCGCACTCCATGAGAAATTTTGAATTTCCTAATATTGCTCAAGCAGAACGCATTTTTTTATAGGAGAAAAGTAAATACCCAGCATAACTGATATTGGTTAAAAATCTTTTGCAAATATACTGACATTATTTGCTGTTCATAATACTGATGTAAACGTAATTGATATGTAGGTAGATTAAACGGTTACATAACTGGGAATGTATTTTTATGAATTTGCTAATCTCACTAATATCCTTCGTCAATAGCATACAGATAGTCTATCAATTAAGCTAATTTCAAATAATTTGTTACATAGAACAGGTAGCCAGATTTCATTATTGTTCATTGCTTTTTTTTCTACTGCAATTATCCATGTGTTTCTGAATTTCGATTGCCTCTCTATATACAGTAGGATAGTGATTTTGAGTTAAATCGAGTATTACTGTACCTGTTGTCTCTGGGTTCTTTTTTTTTCGATAGCATGTTTGGCTACAGCTGATATCTCGGTTTGCCCGAGGAGAAAATTCATCCTGTGCTCAGGGAGACAGGTATCTATACTTATTTTCGTGGTTCCAATGTAGACCGACTCGCAGCTACAAGGAATCCGGTATACTCCGGGTGTTGCTAAAGTTCTCTGGGGTCCTCATCTGACCTTGAACGTCCTCTGCTAGTTTTTGTTGGCCTTAATATTGGTTTCACTTCGTGTTTGTCTTTGTTAGATTCTCCCTATCCGGTCTGTAACATTTTCAACATAGAAAAGGGACACTTTTTTCTTGACTTCGGCGTTCTCTCCTCTGGATCATATGGCCCACTCGAAGTGTCCTTTGCTGAATCCATTCCCTTTAAAGGAATTTTTCAGCTGATCTTTCAGTAGACCATGTGGCCCAATCTACCATCTTCATGTATGTTCTATTTGGATTTCTTGTTCCATTGGATTTTGGATTTCTGGTTCAAATGGATTTTTGAGTCTAGATAGTTTAAATTCAATAAGAAATTATTTAGTATATCTTTATATCATTTCAATTGAAACGAAGAGGCAATGAACAATAATGAAATCTGGCTACCTGTCCTCAATTGTAGATAAACAAGTTCTGATAATTCATTTGAGAGGAACCTAGCCACGTCTACCTATAATGATATATAAAACTGGAGCCAGTATTGTAGTACTCCTGGAAGCAGGGGCCCCACTAGGTGCAGTTCTTTCCCCACACCTCTTCTTGGTATACACAGCAGACAGAGGACAACTCCCACAAGTTGGCACTCTACGCAGACGACACAGATCTACTGGCAAGATCCACTAACCACGCGAAATTTACCTGATACTCACAACAGCAAGCGGATAGATTAGAGGAATGGGCCAGCCTTCAGAAAATCAGTATAAACTATGACAAGAGTCAGGCGACAGTGTTCATCCGAAGGCTGGTACATCTGGAAGGAATGTCATTTTCAACGGACAGGAGATTCCGTTGACCAACGAACAAGATACTTGGGAGTCACCCTCGACAGGAGATCAACGTTCAGGTGCCACATACGGCAGGGGATAGGGCTGACGAGAGCCGCCAGACAGAACCTCAATCTCATCATTGGACGCAAGACCGTTCAACGACCTATTATTCTGTATATCTCCACTGCCTGGGGCCAGTGCGCAGCGACATACAGACGCAGTATCCAGATGTTCATGAAAGCTCACTTACGAGCTGCCGTAAACGCTCCAAGATATATGCCTAACAGATACATCTGCCGGGACTTGGACCTTAACATCCAGTATGTAGACGCATATATGAGAGAAAACGCCGGAAACGTACTTATTCGAAAGAATACGAACACACGCTAGTCCAGCGCTGCGCTACATGAAGCGCTCAACAGCGACTCCATATTTCGCGAAAGTGATAAACACATGAGGCCCACGAAGCAGAACCAACGACTACCTCCGAGAGTCACTGTCAGGCGGCTCCGGTTAGTATAAAAACGTTTTAAACAGATTATTCACACACACCTTCTTACAGATACACACACACACAAACACACACACACTTAGTTCGCGATCAATAGACACTTGTCTCTGGCTAGGTTGAGGGGACCCCCCTGCAAACATTACATACAGTAAAATCACAATGATCAACAAATATCGAGAGTAAAAGCCCCTAAAAGAGGTCAGATGTCAAACCTGCTGAAGTGCCCAGCAGCCAGTTGAGGTCCACTCTGAATTGAGTGGGGGTCGATAGACTAGATTCTAGCTTCTGCACACAGTAACCGTTTGGGGAAGATTCTATTTCAGGGCACTCAACCCGGGGGGGGCACGGATGGGAAACATTATAGTTTTTGTATTGGAAACAAGGGGAACAACAACTCAAGCATCAACTCGAGCATTATGACCATTACCTCATCGCATTTATGATGTATTCCGCAGCAGTAGACGAAACATGCAGACCAGGGCAAGAAACTTGGAAAGTACCTGTGACACAGATATCACCGGCAGTGAAAGTTTATATTCTTTAGTCAAAATCATTATTTCATCTGAGGTTTTTGGGATGTATATGATATATGAGAAAACGTTTTTTTACCAAATGAATGGGTTTTTGTTTTTTGTATTAGATTGGATTGATCTGAAACTTTTGTGGTATTACCCTATTGCAGAGAGTAGATTCAGCAATACAAATTTCATATGCAGAAAATTTATTCAATGTTCAGTCCCCAAATTGTGGTAGTTTTTGTGTTAGATAATACGACCGATGTAGTCATAGTTTGTGAAGGCTTGAATTTGACCCTGACGATTTTTTGGTATTTTTCATAGTTATGTTTTGTCTCTTTAGATGTTGAAATTGCAAAAATTAAAGAGCATTCCGAATTCTCATTGAGAAAGTACGATGAATTACGATGAAGTAATTTTGTATTTTCAGAGTGATGATGAAAATATTATTTCAAAGACGCCGGACTGAAGAAATGAGTAAAGCAATTTTCTTCAATTGGAATTTGTGGATGGATTTGTTGAAGTCAATCTATAGTAATGTTGAAATATGATGAATATAATGGAAAGAACAAATACTTTACCTCGTATTTCTCCAAAATATTCACAATTTTCTCAGGATTCGTAAGATACTTTTTGGGAACAACTAAAAGAGTTCGTCCATTGAGTAGAGGTCCCCATATTTCTGCCACACTGTCAACGAATGCCAGAGCGGTTTTCGAAACGCAAACACTTTCGTTTTCTCCAAAAGGAAATTCTTGAAACTGCCATTGCAGTCTATTCATGATAGCTGTTTGTGGGAGACGCACACCTGTTGAAAATATTCATTTTCACCACAATATTTTGTCAATTTTCCAAAAATGAAAAAAATTATGGTTTCACTATTGCCGAATTGTTTTAGGACAGAAAAATGTGTGAGCTCACGATAAAAAAAAAGGTATTTTGAAATTCAAGTGGTGAAATAGTTTATCAATATTGTTTTAAATTATGCCCTGGAGAAAATAACGTCGGCCGCCACTGTTAATCATAAACCAATTGTGACGTAGCTAAGAGCGTGCGAATGTACGATGTTCACTGCCGCTCAAGATGTAGTGAGAATAATGCTACCGACTCCGATGGCATTCCGGTGAAGTTTCTATCGCCTTCGATTACGATATACAAACGCTAGCCACCAACATATCGACATAGTTAAGTGAAAGTTACAGTGCGGTACGCGAAGCGATCTAGTAAGGCGATAGACATTCGAATAATAGTTGAAGTAGAGAGTCAATCATTCCTCAGAGCCGTCGGGGACTGTGAGGCATGGTTAGTTATTAGAAACGCAAGTTTCTAAATGCACAAAATAGTTGAAGTGTTTGTTGTAATTGAAGTTGTATTGCTTCCATATTTGTCTCTGGGACGAATAACTCAAAATGTGGCTTCCTTTATAATTGTTGACCTGCTCTTTCCATTTTTTCCGGAAATCATTGTTTCAAAAGTTATTCATGTTGGCTCGATTCTAACTAAAATAATTTGTAGCTCCCGAACCATAAACTTCAGACCATATGTTTTATACTTTGTTGAAATCTGAACACTATGGAGCATCTGATAATGCGAAACAATATAGGATTATCCATTTAAAAAATTGGTGTCATGCTATGGGGGTGCCATAAGGAAAGTAAAATCAAATGTGAATATGTCAAAATATATCCCCCTGTATTAGACTAAGGTGTTGAAGACACCATCCTGGCAAGCCATGATGAACCCCTCAGTTTTCGACTTCAGCCCACTCGACCTGAGAAAAGCGAAGGTCAGGCGCTTTGACAAGCCAAGGTCTCCAATGTTATTGAAGAAGACCCCATGCATTGGCTTATCCTTGTGTTTCCGCAGAAGTGAAGTGATCTCTGCGGCTTTTACCTGAGCTTTTATCTGAACGGTTCCAGCTCGGTGACAGAGTTGTGGTCACCTCGTTCAGTGTCGAAGACAATACCGAGTTCATCAGCTGCTCGGGCAGCTGCCCTAAAGAGGAATGCTCCAATTACTGCTCTATCATGGTCACGGACAATTCTCGGGATCCGAACTCCTGACGACTTTCCAGGCTGTATCCAGCACCATTCTGTCATGTAGACACTCCAAACTCAAAAGTCCACGGCCTTCCTGTTGTAGGGGGAAGTACAACCGTGGAACGGACGATTTGGGATGCAAACTCCTATAGAAATGCATTATTTTTCGGGTCTTTACGTCGAGTTGATACAGCTCCTCCTGAGTCCACTTCACTACTCCAAACGAGTAGAGTAAGATTGGAACGGCAAGCATATTTGTTGCAGCAACTTTGTTCTTTCCCGACAGTTCCGATGACCAGATCTGTCGAAGTTTGTGCTGATACTTGCCGCGGAGATAGTTTTTCACTGCTGTTACCTCTCGTGAGTGGCTTTGTTCCACCCCGAGGTAAGTATACGTCTCTCCGGCATACAGATGTTGTAAGATGCTTCCATCTACGAGCTGCACATCCTCTCCGTAGTCCTCGCATCGGCCAGAGGATTATTATTATTATTGTTAATATTTGTTTCTTGAAGATTACGACTTTGAAACGCGAAATTTTGACTTCCCACTCAAAATTTTGACATTGACCTTGTGATTTCGAGTTTGAAGTCAATATTTCGGGAATAAAGTTAAAATTTTCAGTTTAAATTCATAATTTCGATATCTAAGTCGGCTTCTCGAGTTTCAAATTCGTTATTTTCTAGAAACAGATAATCAAATCATGTGGACCCTTTTGCACTTACGTAATAACTACTTTCGTACAACATCTGTGAATACCCATAAAATCAATACGTGTTGGGAATACAGCAATTGCTGTTTGTTTGATAACATTCACACTTCTTTAAAGAGCTCACCTTTTGGTTTCCCAGTACTTCCTGAGGTATATAACACAATAGCAATGTCTTGTTGAACACGACAATTATCATCTTTGGTGATTCGTTCGCTGGATTGTATTTTTTTGCTTCGATCTAGTAGATCTTCAAAAGACAACTCCATTTGCTGGAACCAATTGGATACTGAAAAAATGTCATTCATTGATATGGAAAACTATTATCTGATGGTTTTACTCTGCTTCCTCTCGATTGAACTGAATCTAATTCTGAAAAAAGTAATTAGTTTTTTTTACAATGCCTCACCTTCGTCAGATATAATCAGAATTGGTTTGGCATCGTTAACTATATATTCTGTTGGGAAATTCTGGATCCAATGGTAAATATGCTGCTCCAGCTTTCCATATTGCTAGTAGTGCCATAATCATTCGATCACTAGGCGCCATTCTTACTCCAATTATATAATCTCCATCGTTATTACAGGAAACGTTATCATTCAACATTATATTTCTTAAAATGTTCGATAGTTCAGTTGTTATTCTTGCTTCTTGAGGAGGTCGATTAGTTAACATGGTTACTGATCTTTCAGGTCAGATGGTAAGTGTGGTTCTACCAAACTCTGAAAACCTGATTCGGTCTCCAGCGGGGCAGGCACAAAGTATGTGCTCTGCTGTTTCATCATTTTCCAAACAGAGGCGACAATGACCTGTAAAGAGGCCTGTTAGACATCGTAGTTCATCCCTACTGTAGTCCAACAACTGTTTGGAGTGAGCTAATCCTGGGAGATTCTGCCAGAAAAATATTTTTGCCATCCAGGTGTTCAATCTCTGCTTGTCAAAGCGTAAAGCAATCCTAATGACAGGTTCTGGTCCGATGAATCTACTTGCAGCACCCTCCTTTGCAAGGGAGTCAGCAGCTTCATTGCTTTCCAGGCCAGTATAAAAAATATGTTACGTCTTCCTATCGGAGAGTCGGTTTTGGCAATTTGCTACCAATTTAGACGTTGCTCAATAGAAGTCAAGAGCTTCCAACGCCGCTTGACTGTCCGAGAATATTTTTATTGACCTATATGTGAGGTTGGATTTATCCAAACTCTCCGCACACAATTCAATAGCGTAAATTTCGCAGTCGCATGTGTTCCTAGGCAGGTAGATATCTCTGTCCTAGGTCTGCGACTAAAAACACCTGCACCAGACCCGGAAGGTGTTTTTGATCCATCTGTTAACCAACAACTATTTGCTCTTAATATTTCCTCCTCCCGCAGGATCCAGTCCTCTCTACTCGGCAGTTCGTAAGATGACAGTTGGAGGCATACAGTCAGAGGTCATTTCCAGAATGCTGTGAATGTTGCACAGAGTGCAACAGACTGTAGGTTAACACTGGAATTGCACAAATCAAGACTGCACAAATCAGACAACAGTCTGTTGCACAGAGTGCAATTGGCAATGTGCCAATGCTGTTTCATCATATTCCAAACAGTGACAACACCCACTCTCTTCCGACAGTCCGAGCAGATAGTTGTTGGTTCACAGATGGATCAAAAACACCTTTCCGGTTCTGGTGCACGTGTTTTCAATCGCAGACCCAGGACAGAGCTATCAACCTGCCTAGGAACCTATGCGACTGTATTTCAAACGGAAATTGAATTGTACGCTATTGAATTGTGTGCGGAGAGATTGGATAAATCCAACCTCATACACAAGTCAATAACAATATTTTCGGACAGTCAAGCGGCGTTGGAAGCTCTTGGCTCCTACCAAGCAACGTCTCAATTGGTAGCAAATTGCCAAAAACGACTCTCGTCAATAAAAAGACTCAACAAACTATCTCTGGTCCGGATTCCTGGCCATACTGGCCTGGAAGGCAGTGAGGCTGCTGATGCCCTTGCTTGCAAAAGAGGGTGCTGCAAGCAGCTTCATCGGACCAGAACCTGTCATTGGCATCGCTTTAGGCTTTGCCAAACAACGATTGAACACTTGGATGGCGAGAAGATTTATGAACTTCTGACAGAATCTTCCAAGGCTAACTCCAAGGCGTTTATTCACCCTGCGAAGCTTGATACCAAACAGTTGTTGGACTACAGTAGAGATAAACTACGAAATCTAAAAGGCCTTCTCACAGGTCACTGCCCCTCTGGGGTCCGAATCAGGTTTTTAGAGTTCGGCAGAGCTGTATTATTACTATCTAACCAGAAAGATCATTCACCATACAAACTTTTCGACTGTGTTCATTTGGTCGAGGATTGAGCTACAATAAAACCTTGCGGGTTGCGATGGAGCCTACCTAACCTAACCTAGTCTCTGCATATGATTTTCTAGACGACAGTGACCTGTAAGGAGGCCTGGAAGACATCTACTGTAGTAAGGCATCTACTGTAGTCCAACAACTGTTCGGTTTCAAGCTTCGAACGGTGTTTGGCAAAGCCCAAAGCAATACCAATTACATGTTTGGTCAGATGAAGCTACTTGCAGCACCCTTCTTTGCAAGGGAGTCAGCAGTCTCATCGCCACAGGTCATTGTGGCCAGTATTCCTGGCCACAATGACCTACTATCGAGGAGAGTCTTTTCTGGCAATTTGCCACCAACTCAGATGATGCTCGGTAGGAGCCAAGAGCTTTCAGCGCCGTTTGATTGTCCAAGAAAATTCTTATTGACTTGTGTATGAGATTGGATTCTACCAATCTCTCCGCACGCAGTTCAGTAGTTTGGATTTCCGCCTGAACTACAGTCGCATAGATTCCTAGGCAGGTTGATATCTCTGTCCTGGGTCTGCAACTGAAAACACCTGCACCAGAGCCGGAAGGTGTTATTGATCCATCTGTGAACCAACAACCATCTGTAATTATTGTAGAGAAAATCAGCGTTTGTTAAGAACAATCAAAGTATTTAACCTCCACCTGGAGAGAAATGTCACGTGTATATTCGTCAATTAGTAGCAAAATTCCAGGTAGCTGGTACTATCACAAATAAAAAAAAAGGATCAACCAAGAATACTGGGCGAAACAACGCAAATGAGGTACTCGGACAGTTTGCAATGAATCATACTTTATCGACTTGGCAGCTACATCTACCGGATTATCCTGCGAATCTGTAAGGAAAGTACTTGATAGGTGGTATTTTTCGATATTAGCAGACTGTATATAATAAGGTTACTGAGACTTTATATATTAGAAATAATATCTCTGTATTGTACTTTCATGACATACCTTAGTGAGTTGAGCTATATAGATGCGCCGGCAGATTTTTGGACACTGGTCAGAGAGGCGGTAAATCTCTCGTTTCGTGGTACCAAACACGCACGCCCGATGCTCGAAGGTACTCGTTTCAATATAAATACATACAGTGTGATACAAAATAAATGAGTTCAAATGAGAATGGAACACTTGAATTACAAAAATTTCATCCAAAATAAAATGCAATTCTTTCAAAACGTGGTGACAATGACCACGAGAGAAGAATTGAATTTTGTGAAATCATGACTGCTAGAATTATCGCAGAACCTCGGCTCATTTAAAATATTTGCTTTAGTGGTGAGTGCACTTTTTATTCAAATGGGCACACAAATGATCAAAACTGTCGTCACTGGAGTGACGAGAACCCATGACTATTTAGAGAAGGGCATACGCAATACCCCGAAAAAGTTAATGTCTGGGCTGGTATATTGTGAGATGCAATTGTTGGTCCATTATACATAGAAGGAACTTTAATTGACGAAATATATGCTCACATGCTAGAAAGGTCTACCGAACCTTGGATAGTTCATGAATTAGAGAATCAGCAGTTTATTATTAGAAGAAAATTTAATACATTTCCAACAGGATGAGGCATCTTCTCATCATGTAGTTACAGTTAGACAATGTTTAAATCATAATTATGCTACTTGATGGATTGGAAGAAGATTTCCTATTGAATGACCTCTTAGATCTCCGGACCTATCTTCTCTTGGTTTTTTTCTCTTGGGTAACCTGACTTAATAGAGCAACTGAAGGACAGAATGCCGAGTTAATTCCAGAGAAACATTCGATAATGTACGTCAAGTGTTTGGAAATAGACTCTATTATTGTCTTGAAAACAAAAGAAATCATTTTCAATGATTTTCAAATCAATAATGGGAAATAGAATTGTAATTTGAATGAATAGTGTTTCATTCAATAAACTGAAAACTACTTCATCGAATGTAGCTTCGTAAGGTGCCACTTTTGGGCTTTTTGATGAGGTATCCCAAGTAGGGGGTTGCCATTCAAGAATATAAATTGGGAGTGGCAGGGGCGAGGGGGTGAGTGAAAACCAATTAGCTATTATATCATTTCGTTTCCCCCTCCCTATTATGGAAGTTGTTTTCAACGATTTCTTATACTTCATTTGGTTTCTCGAATATAGCCATTGTGAATTTTCAAATTATCACCCTACAGTAATTGAAATTGCATTGAAACCGACCAATTTTTGAGTTGAGTTTAAAGAATTTGTCGGCAGAGAAGACAAGCCAAAATTCAATAATTTTTCTCAATATTACTATTCAAACTTTGAAGTTGGGGCATATGTTCTCAAAAGAAAAGCAGTTATGAATTGTCGTAAACGATAACTTAGTAGAACTATTAGTGGGCAAACTGCTATTGTAGACACTTTCCTGGATTTTATTGTCGATGCGGCCGAAATTTGAACTGGTTCATTTTTTATTTGAAATATAGAATACACTATAAATTCAGAATACTCACCTTCGAATAAAACTGCAGAATGATGTTCATTTCGGTTTGCAATGTTGTCAAAAATTTCAATTAAATGGTTACCCGTGTAACATTTTGAAGATCCTCTCAAAATCGAAAATGTTGTATTTTCACTCATTGCCTGAAACATAACACTTTGAATAAAGAATTATAGATATTTTGCTAAGATGAGCTGTCAATTTTTCTAAGCATACTCTCAAATGTGGGTCCTATATGATTTCAGATGAACTTTTTCTTAGAATATACGTTTCAATTGAATTGAATTCACTTGACATTTAAATGTAAATATTGAATAATATTGAGGATGAGGTTATTAACAACTCGATAGCGTGAACACTGAGTTATTTGATAATAATGCACATTGGGACGGAGTTTCTGAATTTGCATATCTGTGAACAGATATGTATCATAAATATTTATCTCTGAATGATTTTATAATGAAAACTTGAATGAGATACCGAAATTTTATGTCCGCTGCTTCAACAAATGATTTCAAGAACTTTTTTTGCAAAACCCAGCTTCACTTTAGTTGTAGTGTTGCGAACGATATCAAACTTGAACTAAGACTGTTTATGAATATTTTATATGTTTGCAGTTCAAAGATATCCTTCTGATAACATCACTGTTGATTGAGTTATATCAATTGTTGCTGAATGTGATGAAAAATTTTTGTACAGGGTGATTCATTTGCACATAAAATTTCGAATTGACTAAACTAATTACTTATGAATTAGAAAAAGTTAATCCCAAACAAAATCTCTCATCCCATATGCGAGTATAAAAAGTATTTTCATATATTTTTCATTGTTGAGCAGACTTCA